TTAAACCGTTAAACATTTTCAAATACTTTTAATATTGAAAATGTTCATTTTTTAATTCTCCATCTAACAAAGGAATAATATACAGGGTCCATTTAAAATAAATCATCCCGTTCCTCTCACACATTTTTGAACCACCCCTATAGAAGTTAAAATAGTTTCCTGAAATACATCCTAGTATGTAAATACTTTAGGTTTGCACTTAAACAAAATTCCCAACTTTTTTATTTTAGGAGAGCTACAGATGCCCGGCGCACTATTGCCGGACCCTGTATATTGGATCGTCTAATGTTTTGCGTGTCTTGTCCTGACCGGTTAAAAGACGCCCCAATCGTATTTTTAATATCTCAATTTTTTCACATGGAAGCAAGGAAACTCATTAGCATATTTGGAAAAAGCATTTTTTAAGAATAGATACTTGGTATATACTTGGTATTTCAAGTCAAATTGTAATTTATAAACCATATGTTAACATTTCAAATAAACCATATGCGAAAATGTCAAAAGTTGACATATGATGTCACTCTAATCAGTGTGTCATTTTCTATCCAATAAAGTAAAAAAATACCGAGGGTGTCAAGTTGGTCAAAAGTTGTAGTCATTTCCGGTGAAACAGGAAGTGACCGAAAACAATTGAATACGTCAATCAATACTGATTTGTCATGAACTAACGTACCAAATCTCGTTTTTTATCTGAAGAAACTAAAAAGTTATAGGGTTGAGCCACTTTTGAGAAACACCCGGTATAGTTTTTACTTTTTCCATTGACAATTTTATTTTTTTAAAAAGCAAAATTTTCTACAGATTGACTTTTCCTCGAAAAATTAAATTTTTGGTTCGTTTGTCCTCTCTTCTCTACCTACCCTATCGCCGGATATACTGGTATCCAATATACAGGGTCCGGCAATAGTACGTCGGGCATTTGTAGCTCCTATAATAAAAAACTTGAGAATTTTGTTTAATGTAAACCTAAAGTATGTACGAGGATGTATTTCAGGAAAATATTTCTATAGGGTGGCTCAAAAAAGTGTGAGTGGATAGGGATGATTTTTTTTAAACGGAACACCCTGTACATACACTATTGGATTTCTGGCTTCCTTTTTGATCACTTTACATAGTCCTAAGATATTTTTATTTATAGTTTCATAGACATTAATAAATAAATAAAAAAAGTATATTTTTCAACCTTCCTTAAATATATTATTACAAGCACAAGAACTGTCCAGAAATCAAAGCTATATTAGGTATTTACTTTAGATGATTATACTTACTTTGCTATACGAGTAAATATCGTAATCTTAAATCATACAGGGTGTTCAAAATTTTACGCCAAACTTTCTAAAATACAAAATAATTAAATAATTTTTTTTTAAACAAACAACATTTTTTATTAGATGGAGAGTTAAAAAATGAACATTTTTTGTATATAAAGTATTTCAACATTTTTAATGGTTTCGCAGATACACGTAGTATTATTTCATATGGCTCTTTCAACGGTAAAATACGAGAGAAAAATCACTGGATAGATTTGATAAAAATTAACTGTGGAAACAAATGCCATATGAAATATAAAACCGCGAATATCTGCGTAACGGTTAAAAGTTTTAAAAAATGTCCATTTTTCAATTCTCAATCTGCTAAAAAATTATATACAGGGTGTCCCATTATAAAAAACGAAGAAAAATTATTTTATATTTTAGAAATTTTGGGGTGGAATTTTGAACATCCTGTATGATTTACGATTTCCATATTTATAGCGAGGTAAGAACAGACCATCTGAAGTAAATGCCTAATATAGTTTTGATTTCAGGATATTTCTTGTATTTTTAATAATTTTTTTTAAGAAAAGGCTGAAAATATATTTTATTTATTTACTTATTAATATCTCTGAAACTATCGAAATATTATTTACGCATATCTAAGGATTATGTAAAGTGCTCTGAAAGGAAGCCAAATATGCAATAATATACAGGGTGTTCCATATAAAAAAATCATCCCAATCCACTCACTTTTTTGAGTCGCCCTATAGAAGCTCCAAGTTATTTTATTCTAGGGGCTACAGATGCCCGACGCACTATTTATTGCCGGACCCTGTATTGTTTTGTCTGTTGTCTGCAAATTCTACAAAAAGTGTGATTTTGTAGACAATGGGTAATAATAGTGAACTCAACACGAGTAAGACAAATTATTACAAATTGTGAAATTATCTCAGATATGTTTAAAACACGTTAATTTTTTTAAAGATGGCTGTATAACTTTTAAAGACAAGACAAATCGTGTAGTTAATTTTTAAAAACTTTAAAATTTTTCAAAAATGTCTGAAAAAATTCTTTTATTCGAGAATGAGGTATTATTAAATTTAGAATGTCTAGAAAATACTTTGACATTTAGTATGACGATAAAATAATAAAACTTACAAATTCCAATATAGCAGTATGCTTGCAAGAATCTGACGAAATATCATAAACATATTTCTTTAAATCCGTTTCTTTGTTCTAAAGGCATCCACCCTTGTTCTCGAAGGAAGGTAGATAAGTATAAATATCAGGGAAAATTCATTACACCTTATTCAATCTGAAATATCTCTTCAAGTCTACTA